ATTCAGAACCACACGCCCCCAACGACCATGTTCTGAGGATAATTTTAAATTACTAGAAAGGTTCAGAAGATAAAATCAAGGAATTATGATTATAATAAAAAATATAGAGGGATAATTTAAAAGGGATTTCTGATAGAAGTTTTGTGTTCAAAACAAATTTTTAGAAGTATTTCAAAATAATATAACTTTATAAAAGTTGCAAAGGGATTTTATAGAGGATTCCAAGGGTATGGTTGTTAGAGTTTCAAGGGAATTCCAAAGAGAATTCCAAGAAAATTTGCTGGCAAGTTTAAGGAGATATAAATATAAACCTCAAAATCTATTATGGTAACTGCACATCGTCGCTAAAACACTACCGCCATCTGTTGAGTATACTGTGATGGGTAGTACAATGAACAGATGGCGGTAGTGTGTAAACGTCAAACGCAAGGGAACTTACTATGCGCGACACAAGTGGTGATACTATCAACTAGAAACCATTTAAATTGATTATGTCTATTTGTCTGTGGTAACTGGTTTAAATTGAGTTAAGAGCTGTAAAGTGTTAGAAGCGGATTTAGTGATTCAAGAACAATGTATCACAATTGTTCTTAAACAGCTTATAATACGTTACATCTTCCTAGTTTGAACATGGCATTAGACTCACCGGAAATTATTCTAAGCTTCGATTAAACTATTTTCAATTTTTGATTTGAAATTGGTTAAGGTGAAAATGCATGGAATCCCTCCACTTCGCGTTTTCACTGGCACTGATCTCATCATCCAGAAGTCATACAGATCTGAAAGTTGCTGCGGCAGACATATAGATCCATTTTGAACTTTGTCACTTAAGAGTATCGTCAAATGTGTGCCCGTAAAAATGCGAAGTGGTAAAACAAATTGAATGGAAAATAGATTCCGTCTATAGTGTCCTTAAACCAATTGCAAAAGTAACACATAAGTAGTAACACCCCTCTGTAAGGGATGGCTCCCATACAAATGAAACAGAAATTTCTGCATAACTCGAGAACTAATCAAGCAAATGGGACGAAATTTAGCATACGGAGGTTATAGGAGGTAGCCCCTTAGATAAGAAGGGGGGCACGTACAATATATTGTATGCTTTTTTTAATTGGCGCATAGACTCAAGCTAATATTGAATCCAGATCAAGGCCGGACACACTCAGCTAGCGATTATATAATAACTAAGCAATCTCAGTTCATTAAAGATACAAAATCTTCATTAAAATAAAATAAAGAAATTGTGATTTTTCAGAGAATCATCCTGAAATGCAATGCACCATAGTTCAAGTACAGAAAACAGACGTCCAAGTTCGATCAGAAACTTGTGTAAAGTTAAGTGGAAACGTCGCCGTTACGTACCGCTAGCATCTCCTGATTTCCTCTATAAATATATCACTTTCGACCAATTGGGCGCTAGTATCGATAAATTATCTGTTGAAAATTGTCACTTGGCGCTACCAGCACTTAGTGTCTAGTGTAAGTTTTGCAACGCCAGCGCCATCATGTTGTCAAAGAGGGTTTTTAAGTGGGGAAGTCACCGTTAGTGGCGCTTAAGTCAAATAGGAATCTTTACACAAGTTTTTAGAGAAATTTTGGAGCTTCAACGTCTGTTCTCTGTGGCTATCTTTTCAATGATTGCAACATGTGAATAATGCAGAACAAGTTTAAAATTGTTCTAGAGCCAAATTGGTTGGTACTAGTCTTAGAGTTACCTCTATGATTGCACTACGTAACTTCGACGGCCATTTTCTCAATGCCTACTAGTTTACATAAGGGACTAATATGCGATTATAGGCAGCATAGACTTCTCTGAATGCCCAAGTATTAGTGAAGAACTTTGGGTAATTTCTAAGTATATGTGAGGAACGGTAGTATATGTACATGATTCTCTAGCACTTATACTTATGATTTACTAAATTCTTACACTCAAGATTTTGGATTCTTTTTCTGGCTGATTTCAGCTGAACATATTCTATAGTGAAACAAGAATTAATTGTCTAGTTTTTTTATGTTCAACAATTACTCCTTATTTGTATATCTGGCATGTTCAAATAATATTGATCATTAAATCTACTATTTCCTTATTCAAATTGTATTGAGATGCATTGAACTACCAAGTTGAGTCATGTCATATACCACACAGCAAAAAAATAATTTTGATATCACGTCAAAGTGGATGCACTACAATCATGTCGAAAATATGGTGTAATATTACTTGCTAAAAAGGACAAAATTATCATTAATACAATGCATGAACTGACATTACGCTGCTTTTACTACATTTGTTTATTTATGTGGTCATAAAAATTACATGAAATTTTCGACATGATTGTAGTGCATCCACTTTGATGTGATATCAAAATTATTTTTTTGCTGTGCATGGCAAAAATATGTTTTCGAATTCCAATGAAATAACTTCCCTGCTCTTTGGTCAGAGAGCGCATACTGCGTCTGGCGTATGGGAGAGTTATTGCAGTTACATCAACAGTGCATGAGAAAAATGCTAGTACTTTCGCGGATTACCCGATAGTGAAGATAAGATCACAGACAAGAAGACATAACGCTCTCAAAATGTTCATAGAAATCACTTTTAACGGCTAATTTAAATGTAGTAGTATCACCACCTTGGTTGATAGTACCGCATAATAAATTACCTTGCGTTTGAAGTTTGCACACCCAGATTCGAAAGGGGGAGGGGGGGGGGGGGGCAATAAACATAAAAACAAAAACATAAAGAATTAGGTTAGACGCCGATTAGATGAACACCATTATACCGAACGCTAAAATACCGTGTGGATTACTAGGTCGATCATCGTTTAACCGAAACTGAATTTTCAGTCATACTTCGGCAAATGTCATCGGTATTTTATGAACTTGTATAAAAATACAACATGTTTATAAATAATTTATCCAGGGCGCCACAACTTTTCAAAACTCTAGGAATTGGGTTAGGAATTAGAAAAAAAATGCGTTTTTGATTGCTTTTAGACTATTCTGGAATGAAGTTCTACACAAAGTGGACAGTTTTATTTTGCTTTGCACCCAATTGTGATGATTTGAAAAATAAATATTCACAAAAAAAAAATTTCTAACACCCTTTCCTTCAAATTTTCACCATCTGCTTTTGAAATTTACTCTATAGTATTGTTGGTATTCTCATGAAACCTCGCACTTCAGTTTATTATATGTTTAAAATACTCTAGTTGTATTCATTACAATTCCTTTGGTAATTTCTTCAGATTTACCTATAATCATTTTTCAGAAACCTTTTGAAATTCAACTATTATTGAAGTTTTCATGAAACCTTCCTCAGAACACTCCTGAAAATTTCCTCAGAACATTGATAAAATTCTTCTTAGAATGTTGCAAAGGTTCTCCTTAAAATTCCCTAAAATTTATTAAGAACCCATTGAAATTATCTCTCGAGCTCAAAATTTCTTTAGAACTCTATCCAACATTGTCAATCTTTAAAGTGCCAGACTGTTGAAAAACAAGCTAATTAAAAGAACTTTAAAAATATGTCAATATGTCAGATTCTTGGTGAAGTTTTAGAGTCATTGGAGTTTCATGCAAGAGAAAAAAATCAAAGTTACAAATCTGAATAATAATTCTCAGTCTTTCAACAAAAACTAGGAATCATATAAGAATTATAAAAGAAGAAAAAAAGGTATTGTTTTTTTTGAGTTTTCTGAAATAATGAATCTAACTTCAATCTCATTCGGAAACTCAAACGAATGTGGAAGTTATACATTGAAAAAAATGACAAAGGCTAGTTAAACTTAAAATTAAAACTTTTTTTCTAGATACTTGAACTCCGTAGCACTTATGAGGATGTCGCTGAGTCGGTAACCTCTCGTTAAGTAAGTACTACATCAACATTTCCTTCCCTATCCCTAGTTACGGTTTATTGAATAGCCAATGTTTATTCCCCAGCATTATTACTGAAAGCAGTCTTGATGCGAATTGCAAAAGAGATTAGAATGTCGCTGGTATCTACGAAGTATACAGTAGCAACGCTAACGTCAACGATATGAAAGCTTCATTATCTAATTCTCAAATTTGATTCAAAGCAGAGCAGAACTCTCAATAATGATTTCATGTATAATTAGGTAGCTCATTACAAATTTCAAATTATTTCCAGCACATTCTATATCATTTTGTAGTATCGTGACCAACTCAATCCAAGAAACTTCTAACCACTTACCTCAATCTTATCAGTATCCCTTCCCATGGCGATCATGTAGCCTGCATGTGGCGAGTCAGCCATCCTTTACTATCGACCTTGGTTTGATTTGCGCTGTTACTGCCTCACCGCTGCAAAATGAAAATTTATGAAAAATTAGTGTAAAGACAGTGAATTGCTGTTTATTGGTGGATTATTTTATAAACAATGTATTTATTGATATAAACCTATGGTCGTGCCCAGTTTAATAACCCCACTATAACGAGACGTGTTTCATGAGACATCATTCATGCATCGATTTGATGAGTCAGTTCCAATTTATTCTTTTAGCTATTTTCCTTCTATAATTGGGTATGATAATCGTCTTCTTATTAATTTGTTTTTCATTTTAAACCGCCGACTTCACATCGACGCTGTTACTTCAGTACTTTAATTTTGATTGGGTTCACATTTAATGCTGACGCAGCATTGCGGGAGCCCCAGTAGGCATTGTTTTAGTACCATAACTGGCACATCTCCCCTATATGAAACGAATGTTCATACTTGGTTCATACCACCTATGAAATTAAGCATTGATTCGACTGTCAGACGTCCAATCGTTCACATGTTTTGCTCTGGCCATTCGTAAATCACCACCCGAACGACCCATCAGCTGGATTTGACAGCTGCGGTTAAAGTCTCTCTGTTGTATACCTTCATACTATCTATATAGACGCTGACGCTGGGTGCATTCAGTTTTCAGTACGTATCTCTATTTTTAAATTCTCATATCTATAAGATTAGCGACCTCGCCGAAGGTCGGTGTTGTTTCGCGTTACTCCAAAGGGAAAAGACTTCAGTTTCGCCAAGACCTTTGCTCCAGGTGTGGAATCCTGCGTTCAACTGCAGGAAAGGTGAGTTCATTTATCTGAAAACTTGTTTCGATTAAAAATTGATATTATCCTTTGAGTTTGAACCGTTCTTATCAATCTCTACCTAAGACGTTGCTGTCTAGTGTGTCAATTGTAGCCTCTTTATCAATCCATTTATTTGATTGCCTTAGCACAAGCAAGCTATTGGAGGGTGTGGGGGGCAAAGGTCGTTGAAAAAAAAAGAAAACAAATTTTGGAAGTGCTATGATGACGCATTGCATTTGTTGTCTTAATTAGATTAAACCTCGGTTTGTCTCGTTCTCTTTCGTTCGGTGTGTCGGTGCTCTAGTGATTTCCCATCCCGTCTCCTGCTATCGCTTATTTCATTCCTAACAAAGTGTGGCTGATGCTTATACATGTTTGAATTTTCTCCGTTTCTTGTTCCTTCTACTGGTTCACAACACAATCTAATCCAAAAACAAAAAACACACAAAAGAAGCCCTCTTCGAAGATGTCTAGTCGTGAAATGATAATCAGACATGTAAGTAGATGGACGTTTCTATTTGAAGCTTTGTAATGCATGCATTTGTTGTACTTAACTACTTGTGTTTACGTGCAAGGGTCAAGGTCCTTGCATGCTCTGGCGTATGCATTCGGACGAAGCTGCTAGTTGTGTGTTGAAATTTGAACAAGATGTATCTCTTCCAGGAGTCGCAAGCATCCTACATACCGAACTGGCTCGAGTGTCATAGGAAACCGGTCACCATGATCCTTCGGTTGTACTCCAGCGTCATCCTGGTCTGGGACTTTTGCATCATCGTGGTGTTCTTTACCATGCAGATGCTCCGATCACTCTATCAGATGATTCGACTTCCGAAGCGCAAATCCGTAGCGGGAGAGATTGTGGCGGTAAGTGTTAGACCACCCTAATGTTGACTACTCATTTAACCACTTTCATTTGGCAGATATTCGGCACCAGTCGTGGCGTGGGACGTGACTTGGCGCTCCAGCTGGCCGAACTGGGTGCCAAGGTGGCTTGTGTTGATATCAATTCTACGGAGAACGACATGTTAGTGAAGACCATCAACGGCAGTGGCTACATTGCCCATGCATTCGAATGTGATCTGACGAACAAGAACGACATCATCCGGACGACGAATGCCATCGAGAAGCGGTTTGGTCACATCACCATGTTCTTCCACTGTTGTGGAGTTCCCAGTCCAAGGTCACTCGTCGCCGAACCACCACCGATTCAGACCACGCTGAATCTGAGCGTCATCTCGCACTTTTGGGTACGTACTAGAATGAAGAGCTATTCAAATCGACAGAACCACTAACTATTACTCTTCCAGTTACTGGAAGCGATCCTTCCGAAGATGAAACGCAACAATCATGGCCACATCGTGTTTCTCACTTCGGTAGCAGGCCTAAGTGGAGTTAAACATCAAACGCCCCTATCCGTCGCTCAGTTCGCCGTTCAAGGCCTATTCGAATCGGTGCTGGACGAGTTGCGCATCGAAAAGTTCCTTAAAACCATTCCCATTTCGTTGGTTCATCTATATCCGTTTGTCCTGACGGAAAACTGCCGGAACGACATCCGAATGCGCATTCCATCCGCTTTTGGGACCATCCGATCGGAGGACGCCGCCCGGAAGATTATCGACGGTGTCCGTCGCAACGAACTGGAGATCAGTATTCCCAAGTATTGCTTAACGTTGTGTCACGTGTTCAAATTACTCCCGCGACGTGCGACGTTGCTGCTTCGGGAGCTCTTCGACACCGGAGTGGACTTCTAGTATCTAGGTTTCAATTACTGCTGATATTTTTGCCATATAGTGATTCTAATCGTTGGTTGTTTTGACATATCTAGAATTTGACAAGCATGTTACCTAAGACTTGAATTACGTGTTCTATTTTAAGGTTTGTATAGGACTTGTTAGGAATATTTGAAACCTTCAAGTGAAGTGATGAATTCGATTAAATATAATTAGACATGAATTGAAGCACTTTTGTTTGTTTTGTTTCGTTGTTTGATATTCACAACTGATTCGACTGGTTCGTTGTTGTATGTTCAATAAAAAAAAAAGAGTGTGGTATCTAACAGCGGTCTTGACGTAAAGCGAAATGAGTGAGTCCGTATTATTCATGCATAGTCAGTACACGTAGTGGCTCCACCCATTTGTTGTTGTACCGTAAAGATCTGTAATTCTGCGCAGTTTTGAAAATTTCCAAAATAATTATAAATTGTAGATAATTTGAATTTAATTGAATACATGTTAACTACTACGAAAAGCGCGGAATATGGAGAATTATGGTACTCACCAAATAAATTATTATAACAATATGATCTACTCTATCGCTGGCCAGTCATGGATACTAAAATTATTTAAGTAGAATTAAATAGAAGATAACTTTTTTTGCTGTTTTATTTAAGCATTCCGCTAACAACCCAATGTCATTACTTCATAATAAGTAGGGTACAAACGATTTCTTAGATAGCAAAATTTTACATTGAATCAAATGGAAAACTAATACTGCTTTCAATTGAATCAATTTAATTACTGATTTTGCATTCCTAAAATTTTACTGAATACGGGCCCGGCGGAAATGGTTAACATCCATCCATACTGAAATACTTGAGCTCAAATCATACCCCGCACAAGTTAAGAATTACCTAAAATGTGTTAAACAAAATAAGTAAACAATAATCGTTAGTTCAAACGACAGATGAAATTAAATTAAATGTTCAACAAGTCGTTAACAGCAAAACTTGAAGTTAAGTTGCTTTCATTTAAGAAACTCTTGACTGCATAATGATATCAGACTTATGTCGCGTTAATTGAAATCAAAATAAATTTTCATCATGATAGGAACTGCAAATTTTAATATCGATTTGCTTTCATTTTGTTAACCGACTTAAGTCCGTCCCACTAGCCGTCTCGTGAAGTGTAGAAAAATGCGAAATAATCTATCAACGCTTAATGATACCAACTCTCAAGGGATCATCAACATATTATGTAAGGGGTTTTGAATGATTATTAGACTCCCCCTCCCCCCTTGTAAGATACTGTACGATTTTCAGTTAACCCCCAACGAGGATCATTTCCAGTTTTTTATAGATGTGATTGAATTCGAAGCGTAATTCAATGGGAATTTGGAGGAAATACTCAGGGAACGTTAAGGATAATGCCCGGAAAATTGACTGGAGAATTACAAAGGAATTCAAATGAAACATTCAAGAGAGCTCTGGCAATTTTAATGTTCATGAATTATAGCTAAGGTAATTTTGGAAAGAATTCTTGTGAGAACTTTTTGCGAATTCTAACAAGTTAAAAATATTTCGCTGAATGGGTGAAGCAAGCTCATCCACAATGATCTCGATATTTTTTCTGCAATTTTATTTTTCTCTTGCACAGAAGTCAAACCACTGATGAAATATTAGCGTTTATGTAATTTGGTAATCGCAATGGCCTGGTATAGCTTATCGAAAGCTGCTGACAAGTGGGTATATATGACGTCTGTTTGGACCCATTCAGTCATACTTTCCGTGATATACGATGTAAGGCACAGCAGATTAGTGGCGGTAGAACAACCGGAAATGAAGGCGTGTTGATCAGCACTTAAATACTGCTTACAATGAAAAAGCAAAGGCTCCATCTAATCTAATCTAACAAACGCAGCCAGAACGAGAAAGCATTCTGGTAATGACGCAAACATCAAAACGACCTCCCTTAGCTCAGTCGGTAAAGACGCAGCTACAAAGCAAGGCCATGCTGGTGGTGGCTGGGTTCGATTCCCGGTCCGGTCTAGGAATTTTTCGGGTTGGAAAATTTCTCGACTTCGCTTGGCATAGAGTGTGATTGTAATTGCAACACAATTATACCTCTATGATTATACTATGTAATGCAAAAATGGTACAGGCATCGAAAGCTCTCAATTAATGACTGTGGAAGTGTATCTTAGAACACTAAGTTGAGAGCCCGCAATAAGCTAATATGCGATAAGTAATAAGCTTGAAATACACAGAAGAAGAAGAAGAAGAAGATCAAAACGGTCAGGTGACTGCGTTGGGTTGGGTTGGAAGGATGGGTCAAGTTTGTATACATGATGGATCACAATCTCCTGTTCCCCCGCTTCCAATGTGCATTGAGGTCCCCAACAACCGTGCCAAATTTGACCGCAATGATCTGGATTTGCGGTAGAATTTTATATGTTGTATGGTAAACGAAGCAAACCTATTCATTTGATTGCCGAAAATTCAAATATTTCTCAAATTTCACCAAATCTCGGAAATAGTGTGGGAATACTATGGAGAACAACTTTGTCGACGACTGCAAATCGATTAGACTGCTTAAAAAAGTTATTATAATAGTTTAGTCCTTGGACAAAGTTGTTTTGTAAAGTATCCTCAATCTATGTCCGAGATTTGGTGACATTTGAGCAATATTCGAATTTTTGGTAAGCAAATGAATAGGATCGTTCCGTTGCCCATACATTTTCTCATACAAAATTACAAATTCTCCCGCAAATTGAGATTATAACCAAGGTTGCAAATACATTTCAGCTAAAACAATGTTTTTTTTAATGATGAAATAATTAGATGCTATGATCATATTTTGAATAAGTAAGATACAAGAAGAGGTTGCAAAGAATGTGTTTGACGTATTAAACCTGTTTACTTCACTTCATGAGAGTCACAATCAGCGATTTTTCACATACACACTCACTCACTCACTCACTCACTCACTCACTCACTCACTCACTCACTCACTCAGCGATCAGCAAATCGCTGATTGTGACCAGGGCTGGCAAATGTCATTTTCAATGAAAGATCTCACGTGATATTTACAGAGATACTTCTGTCACTATCTTTGGATGAGAAAACGATGATAGAGATTTTCTTCAAAATCTCATCGAATTTTTCGTCATGACAGAACGTGACAGTGTTGTATCATCGTAATTACTAGCTCATTTAATGCTTTTAAAGCTACTTGTACCGAGGAAATCTTCACTCTACCGATTACATTCGGTTGTTTGCTTAAATTAATCTAAATCAGTTAGAAATGTTGATATCAAAACCACATAAGAATTATTCTCATGAGTGCTTGATCATTGAAAAATGACAAGAAAGCTAATGATATGTAGTTTCGTCTCGTGATAGTGAGAGAACCTGTTTTCTCATCGCCACATGACGGCCGTGATATTTACCAGCTCTGATTGTGACTCATAGAAAGCAAAATTTACAGGTTTTATGTTTCAAACGCATACTTTGTAACCTCTTCTTGTAAGTTACAAGTTAAACATGTCATCATACCATCTTTTGGTTTTATTATTCCGAAAAATATTATTTTAGCTGAAATGAGTTTTTGCAACCTTGATTATAACCAATTTCACTCAAATTCTGTACAGTTTTTGGGAACCACAATACGCACATTGAAAGAGCAGTGGGAAACAGGGGGTTGAAAAGTTTACTCACCCTAGTGAACATACACTCATAAAATAAATCACATAACTAGTGGAAAATATCCATGTGAATTTCACATAACCTTCATGTGATCCAATAATTGGTAATTGCACCACTAAATCACATGAACGTTATGTGTCCAATGAAATCTATATGATTTCTCATATAGACTTTCTTATGCTATGTGATATTCAGATGACAATCATTATTTTTGTAATTGGAAAAATATTATGTGCGTTCCTAATAGAAACTACGTGAAACCTTTTTTCAGTGTACATGATAATGCATATGATAGCATGTGATTTTTTTCCCATACACTCCAAAAAATATGCACGTCCGATCTACGTGAAAACATAGGTAGCTTTCGTCCATACTACTTTTCACGTAACATGTACGTTAATACCATAGAGGTAACTCTAAGACCAGAAGGTCCCGAAGAAACGTGCTCAACTTTTTGGCTCAGCTCTGGTACCAACAATCAATACGAAACTAACGATTTTAAATTGACTCACTACTTGACTAGCCTATTGGTCCCAAGCAAATCGATTAACGAACCCCATTCTAGTCGAAATTCTAGTACTACACAATGTTTGTTTTGATTCGCTATGAAATTTTGACAGATAAAATGAGGGGTTATTGAATTTTCCTATGTTTCGATGGGTGAATCGACTAGCTTGGGACCGAAGAAAGTACCAGAGCTGAGCCAAAAAGTTGAGCACGTTTCTTCGGGACCTACTAGTCTTAGAGTTACATCTATGCTGGTACTCTCTTCGGTCCCAAGCTAATCGATTCACCCCTCGAAACATAGGAAAAACCAATAACCCCTCATTTTATCTGTCAAACTTTCATAGCGAATTAAAACAAACATTGCGTAGTACTAGAATTTCGACTAGAATGGGGTACGTTAATCGTTTGCTTGGGACCAATAGGCTAGTCAAGTAGTGAGCCAAATTAAAATCGTTAGTTTCGTATTGATTGTTGTTAATACCATGTAGCCAAAAATATTCCCATTTAGCGGTCAACGTGAACAGTAAGGTAAATATTACGTAATTTCCACTTAAGTTGGAAGCGGTTATCACGTAATGTTTACGTGATTTTGAAATGATATTTACTGGAAAATACTGTTCATCTTACGTTACGTTCCGTGGTTTCCACTATAGTTGGAATGGATTTGCACGTAATGTTGACGTGATTTTGAAGTGATCTTTACCGGATCTAACAAATACTGTTTTCCATTTTGTCCAAGAAAAGATATTTAAACATTGTTAGCATTTTTTTTTACTAATACGTTAAGTATGTCATTGAAACGTTAATACCAACCATTTCGGCTTTTCCAACTTTTAATTGATCATGACAATTCAGATCTCGATTCAGATGCAATATCCATTTGCACTGTTTACTGCCGAGTCAGACATTTGGAAAATGCCCATAAATTGTGTCTTGTAAGCTAACCTCTGAAATCGAAATAAATTTAATTAGCTGTGTATGACGGATTTCAAATAAAGCGAAATAATATAAAAATACATTTAAACAGTTGCAGTATGCAGTTAAGGAATCACTTCTTCCATTAATAAAATCGATGCCGCCATATTGAATCACTTTTTCATACATGTAAATCACGTAAACTCATTTTACGCAAGCACACCACAATCACTCAACCGCACATAGAAGTTTGATGGGAAAATGTTTTCACATTCATCATCAGCTCCAGTGAACATGACATGATATATTTATCAATTTTACTACCATCATGTAAACATGACAGTTGAACCATTCGAATGAACTACGTGATTCTTCACGTAGATTGAACGTGTATATGTTGTAGAGTGTACATGATTATCACTTACTTTTTACGTGAAATTCCCTTAGTATCAACGAACATGAATATCACGTAAATTTTATCAAAATTTAATTTAACATTGACGTGAGCCACGTGAAAATGATCGAAGTGCGGGGTTAAAGAGGTTACGTGATTTTTCACGTAGCATTAACGTGAAGATTTTTTAGAGTGTAGAGTTTTCTCTGAATCCTTCATTGAAATTACAAATGGCATTGTTGCTACCCAAGTCCATAAACAATTGGCACTCTTCCGGGCTATTTTTTCATTAGGGTGTATGTAAACAATGGATTTTATTTTGAAAAAAATCATAGCTGTAAAGCAACATATTTGATCAAAATGACGTCTGACTATAAGTTGCAGGTAATAAAATAACCTTTAAGAAAACATATACAGTAAAAATAAAACCCATTTTTTACATACGCCCTAATAAAAAACATAGTTCGGAAAATTTACAATTTTTTAATGGAAAATACCACCATGGGTAGCAACTAACATTTGCACAGTTTCAATCAAATCTGAAAGGGTCTGATCGAAAGAGGCTTTATTTTTACCGTTTTGAGCTGGCAATTGTCCGATACATTTTTTTCGTTAGAGGTTAGGGACGGGGAAACTTCTATTAGATGCTTAATTTGTAAGCTTCTTTTAGGAGTTTCTTCTAGAAGCTTCATTTAGAAGCGTCTTCTTTAATGGCATGCAGGGCTGGAAAGCACCTCAGAGCGTTAGCAAAGCAAATTTGTGCAAGCATCTCACAACACTCGACAAAGAGTGTGTGGTTCTCCCATTTACTTCGCACACTCTTTTTTCCAACTAATCTGTGAGAAAGCAATCCACACAATGAGCGGTACACTCTGTGCGGCGTAGGGAGCGAATATAATAAAACAAGCGCTAATGTCTTCTTTGCATTCTTTGAAGACCTTGTTTACCACGGCTGCATGCATAGGAGATGAAGAAGGGCATAAAAATGAAGAATTTTGACTTTTTGCTGTGTTTCCCATTTGCAACCCTACACTGTGTGGTGCTCTTTGCGTCGGAGCCGTGGGAGCGATGGCTACACATTGAGCTTTCGTTATTTCTGGGTGTGTGCGTCTTTCTTCTCTTCTCCGCTCGCACAGGGTGAAAAAAGCCAACTTTGTGTTTGCTTGATCCTTACTTTGTATATTATAGAAAATCAGTACATTGCGCGCTTTGAGTGATCATATGACAGCCCTGATGGCATGCAATAACTTTTAAAACCGCCGCAAGAAACGGCTATAGTTAAATTAATTCCTTGCATTAAGTAAAAAAGTAATTTTAATTACTTTCAGTACTCTAGAACACTGCATTGATCACCAAAAGGACTTGAGCTTTCATTTTAACTCCGACGCACCATTCTATAGAGAATGCAGATGAACAAATTCCAAATTTGAATACCAAATATATCATACTGACAATATTCATGCCTTTTCCATACTTTACAATGGCGACCCGATATTGCTTCTCGCACCATCTAGCGTTGAAAAAGGACAGCCACATTCATCTAATTACAATCGAGGGCCCCCCATATAATATAGTTTAGGGGAATTCAATCTAAGCAGCGTCCGCAATTCTATAAGCATTATCTCAGCGTTACGCACACATATGATGTGCTTGTTTGATTGCATTTATCTGCTGCTTTCTTTTCTATCCATCCCAATCGACATAATAGTTTAAAATTGTTTGAAAGCGATTTTACAACGGCCCAAACTTCTTAGGTGAGTGCGACTATTGTCGGCAGTTTCTTTTCAGTTGAGTATATTTCATTTAAAGACAAATCGTGCATAACATGATTGCTCAATCGTGAAACGTAATCAGCTTGAAGCTGAAAGACTAAGGAATCGTTTAAATACATTCACCGGTAGTGTTTCGATTTGAAAATATAGTGAAATTATCGTTTAAATTTTGGTTGCTGAAAACAATTGATGAACGCCGAAGCTGACATATACCCTATTTAATATGAGATACCTAATGAAATTGCTGTGTTAACCGTTAAGTCAACCAAAATGAGAGCAACTGGAGTATTCAAAATAAGTTACATCATAACAGCAAATTTTGATTCCAATTTGACCTACAACTTTGCTCGGGTTGCGGGTCATCCAAACAAGTTCCACACTTGATTAACGCGTGCATATTTAATGAGTTCAAAAATGGTCATTTGAATCAAGAAAAATAACTTACCTAAACCTAGGGTGGCACAAACTGACGATTTCCGAATTGCGAAATATTTCTTCATTTAACTGAAAAGAAGCGATTCGAAATTCACTTTTTTCAACACAATTACAATAATTCCGCGTCACATACCTAACTGCATATTGGAAAAATGATTTAAATGTTTTCACAGAAAAACGAAGAACCAAAACACAAACACGTCATTTTTGCAGAGCTGCCTACTTCGATCGATTGAAAAACTCTGCTACAATGACCGAAAAACGAGTCCTCTGCGTGGGTCTGTGCAATCTGGACATCATTCAAGTGTGCGAAAGCTTCCCCTTGGAGGATTCCGACCAACGGTATCGTCCCGATCACCGTAGCGATAGGCTCAGAATTTTCAAAACGATCCTTAAATTTCCAGCTCTACGCGCAGCCGTTGGCAGCGGGGAGGAAATGCATCCAACAATTGCACCGTGCTGGCTCTGCTCGGTGCCCGATGTGAACTGTTGGCCACGTTCAGCGATTCCGAACATTTCGGTTTTGCCATCCGAGACCTGGAACGGCGAGGTATTGAGATTGGAAATTGCGTCTTCCACCAAGGCTGTGAGATACCACTGTCCACTGTTTGGCTGAGTGCAACGACCGGAAGTCGGACCATTGTCCATTCAAATCCCAATCTACCGGAGTTGAGTCTGGAAGATTTCGAAAAATGTGATCTTCAGAGCTACAGTTGGATCCATTTCGAGGTTGGTCGTTATTTTTTCTAGAACCATAACAAATTCGCATTTCTAATTTTCACACAGGGTAGACGAAGTGCGCCGGAGATAGCATTAATGATCAACCGCATCAAAGCGTGGAATGACGAAAATGACACCTCCCGCAGGATTACCATTTCGGTTGATTTGGAAAAGCCACGTGATTCGAATCTACTGTTGATAGCGAATGTGGATGTCATATTTCTGGGAAAAGATTTTGCTCGATTCCTGGGTGTCAACACTTCGCAGAAAGCAGTAAACGGGCTGAAGAAATCCTATCCTGGAAGGTCAGTTAGGGGATTGCATCCTCGAATGTTTATTGATACAATATTGAATGAATTACAGCTACACCGTAATATGTCCATGGGGTGGAACCGGCGTCAGTGCATTGGATGAGAACGATCAATTGTACAGTTGTGGTGTCTATCCGCCGGAAATGATAAAGGACAGTCTAGGTGCAGGGGATACATTTTGTGCGGGGTGCATCTTTCAATTGAATCAACGAAAGCCATTGCAGGATGCTCTGGAATTCGGATCGCGTTTGGCTGGTTCGAAGATAGGTGATTTTGGCTTTGATCATCTAAAGGAGAAGATTTTAGATGTTAAGTAGATGACACGTACAATAAAACACGATATTAATTACATTTCGTATGCATCTATCGATTAGCGAACCGATATGGTGAATATTACAGGCCTTCAATAAGATAGCAATGATAGCTGTCGTTGACAGCGGGAAGGTGGCTTCAAAAGATAAACAATGTTAATTCCAGTAATAACTCAGAGTACTCACCGATCACAATCGCTGATTGTGTCTCTCTAGAAGCGAAATTGATAGAATTTATGGGTCAAACGTGTTCTTGTAACATACAAGTAAAAATTGTCATCATCATTGATTGATTCCATACTTTCGAGAATAAAAAAAGGTTATAGTGAATTGAGGTAATGGATTTCACAATTACAAAATTTGTTATAAACCACGACTAAACACTACAATGAAATGACATTTTATTCTTCCAATAATATTTCTCACTTTTAAAAAGCAAAACGGGAAAAAGGAACATTATTTCAAATTGGTATGTGTAGTAATCGCTTTTCAATCAACTGCCCTAAGAGGAAGAAAAGAATAAAAATCCTCTTACATTTTAAAGGGAAATCAAATCCTGGATTGGCAAAAAACACGTACTGTAACTTCTGCTGCTGCTGCTGCTGCACTGGTAATTGCGTACAATCTTGCTTGTATTGTTTTGTGTTTTTTCTTACAATTTGTGCTACATTTACTCCAGCAATGTGCGAAAAGTAATCACTAGACCTTAGAGGGAAAACATCATTCCAACCGTACACACGCTCGTACATAAACTAAAGCTCACACTCTCACAAAAAAATAAAAACGAGTTCACTTGGTAAGAGAGTCGTTCTCCACGTTTCAGACTGCTTTAAATCGATCCGATTTTCTGATTGTAGTTATCAAATCAAAGGATTTCTAAAATATATTATATATATATATATTATTTACACGTACACCGACGACGGTTTAAATTAGTTTAAAACTACGAAAATAAAGTAGTACCTCAGCGTTTGAACCCTGTTTTGCATACAGCACATTTGGGAGGCGTGACTTGTAAAACTGCTTTCTTGCTCTTGTCTGCATCTTACAAACTAGCAACCATCTATAATTCAATTGTTTCATGTTCTGTTCAGTTTTGTGTAATGCATTGTTTATTTTTTTTTGTGTGTTTCATTATTTGTATATATATATATATCATTTAGATTTCTGCTTTATTCGACTTGTCTGAAGCGTTCCAACCATTTTCTATTTTCTGAATACTTGTGTATGTTGTTGTGTTTGTCAGCATTTGTAAAAAGGATTGTTGGTGTCACACATATACATGTAATTTACACAAATTGGAAAACTATCTCCTCTAATTGGTTAGTTCGCTTCCATACTGACTTAAAAGAAAGGTTCTAAGGGATCCAAAAACAGGATAATACGAACTATTTAGTTTGAATAATTTGCTGCCGCTTTTGAATGCTGTTACAGTTTTTGTTTGTGTTTGACTTAGTTTCCACGCCATCATTTCATAAGATTACTTGCTGCTTCTGATCGGGTGCTATTTCTATGTTTGTGCCATTCTTGAGCACTCCTGAAAACTTGGAATCGTGCGTTCGTTCTGCATGATCGTAAATCCTAAACCTGTCTTAGTCTTTGTTAATGTGCTTGTTAATGTCTCACTCACTCTCAACCGGACGAACGACGACTGAGCTTAGCTATCGCTCAGCAAATATACGTACATGACATTCGAGTAATTGATAAGCATCAGTATCAACTGGTAATGGACGTAGGTAGAGGTAATGAAGAATAGATGGATGAGGAGGAAACGGAGCAGATCCTGCTGTATCACGGTCGGCAACATGGACGACGATCCGCAGGGGAACACCCCGGTGCGGTAAAATTCTTCGAGCAGTTTCTCCTTCTCGATGAACCGGTCGTACAGCCACTGGGTAAGAGATTCACTATCCCGGGGAACCTAGAGTTCGGAAATAGATAAGCACTGCCCAAAGTAGATAATCTGACAGATAACCCACCTCTGAACTACGGTATAACCTATAGAATAAATAAGTCTGACACGGATTCCTAAGGCCGTGCATGATATTTGGTAAATCTAGTGGCTTCCCATTGGGATACCCGATGGTAATGTCCAGAATGTACTCTAAACAGTGGTTTAGCTTGCCGTTCAACTTGGTGAGTGGTGAATCCTTAAAACTATCTGCAAAACGCATACTCGAAACGTTAAGACCTATAATAAGACTGCCGTCCAATACTGCCCATAATCGCATATCAGTCCCATATGGATAGGAAATCAAGCAAAGATGGGACTTATATGCGATTATGGGTAGAATAGTATTTGGATACTCACCACAGTCATCGGTACTTATTGCTTCGCTATTGATTATAGTGCTACTGCTGTTGATGGTGACATCGTTCTGCTTTGGTTGCTGCTGATCTACGTTGATCGTTCCATCCATCATACTATGATTGAATTCATCCATTACTGTTGCTATCGTGCTGTTCATCATCTTCTCCTCGTCTCGACAGGGCGACTCCGGTGAACCGAGTACATCCATGATCGCCTTCATAGCACCAACCCGCGGTACCGTGACGTTGTTTAATACTGGTAGGTTGTTTTTCTCTGCAAATCTGGACGGTTTATCGAAATCATTAGAACGATAATTCTTCAAAACCGAAAATCACACGCTAGCTAACCTTTGGCTAACTTCTTTCCGCTTGCGCAGAAAGCCTCCCTCCGGAAACAGCACCATCCACTTTCTCTCGCGTGGAATGTATGATTTCTTGAGATGCGTTTTCAGTTCCAACAGTGATTTGTCTCGGTTTGATTTGCCCTGATGGCAGAAAAATGGCATAGTTATTATTGAATGCGTCTTCAGTCGTCCCTTATTTAGATTAAGGGCCGATTTATTCTTTACTCTCATGGTTAAACCTGGTTTAAGGCTTAAGCGGAGGTGAAGAAATCAGCCGAAAGCCGATACACGATAACATCACAATGGAACAATCCACACACTCAAAAAAAATTTGTAATTGTAATTGTAATTGTTCAGTGTATAGGCTGTACCAACCGCTAAGTTGGATTATCTAGGGTCTAATAGTACGTTCAGACTACAGAGTTGTAACATGTTATAGCGCAATCTTGATGGTGGTTTCTGTGTTGCAATTATTTGACAACCGTTATAACATGTTATAACTCTCCAGTCTGGACAGTGTTTAACCCCCTATACACCTACTGTCCTTCCCGTTGCACTCGTCAGCTCGTCCTCCCCTGGGTAGGCTCGTGTCCGTCCAGGTTCTATATTCACACTATATTTGAAATCTCACGTAACCGTAATTCAGGGGCAAATTTACATAATGTAAATACAGAAATAAATTTCAACTTGGAACGAAACTGACAACCTATTGGTATAAAAGTCAGTAGCTATGAGGTATCTATTGTTCTGCATGATTACATGGGGTGAAATTGATCAACCTCTCAAATGACTTTCTTGTAAGTTTCTAGAAATTGTTCTTATTAAATTTAGGTTCCCTAAATCCTAATCAGATACTAAAATCTGTGTATGAAGTGTATTTTCAGTGGAAATTACAGAACATATTTTGTTTAATCAGGGGGAACTTGCCTTCTGGGGATGAATTATATTTCGAAAAATAGAGCTGCGTTGGCATGCGAGCGAAATGAACAAAATAGACCGAAATAGACAGGGATGTCCAGCATATCTTGGAAAAAACATTGATAGGGGTGCAAAGGAATAAATGGGAAATTTTCCTGGATTTTTTTTTCATGGATATGTATGCACAATTTGTGGATGAAGATGTGTCATTTTCCTTGCTTAAAATGCAGTCTCTTGATGAAATTCTATCCAGACTTTTGTCGATATCTATCACCGAAAATTTTCTACGTGCAATTTACCTCCAGATCACGGAACCTGTAAATTACAAGAAAAGGTTTAAAATAATGTGTTTGGCACATAAAACCTGTCAATTCGCGTTCAAAAAGTCACAATCAACGAATTTATGATTCGTGAGCGTTCACTCAGACTGAACACTCCCGAATCATAAAATCGTAAATTGCGACCCGTCTAAAATCGAAAATCATAGATTTTATGTGCCAAACACATACTTTACAACCTCTTATTGTAACTTTCAAGTATTCAAGTGATTCTGAAGAAATTTCCAGGGGAAGATTAAAGATAATTTCAAGAGGATTTCACGTTAATGATATCCTCCTAAGGCCTTTTTGAGACGAATTTTAGGAACATTCTGAGTTCTCAGGTGAAATCCAACGAAATTTTCCAAATTCTAAATGACATATCACAAGATTTCCCAGGAATATTGCAGGCGGTTTCTAAAGAAAAGCAATGGAGAGATATTAAACAAATTCTTGCTGGAATTATTAAGGATGCGAAGATGAATTAACAGTGAATTTCAAGAATTTTCTGGAAGGTGTTCTGCACAGCATCCTGAGATAATTTGATACGAAAGAATTTAGTAAATTTAAAGATTGAAAAATTGTCATGATTCCGTGAAATTCAAAAACACAATTATTAAGTCTTTAAGGGTTTGGCACGCCTGAAATCATGGGATTGCTTGACGGTAATCATGAATCAAATATTATCATTGAATTCTTACTAATTCAGATTAAAAAAATGATAAACAAAATTGTATTTGATTATCCCAAAAATATGTCCTCACATTTTGCTAAACACCCTTTCAATCTTGGGCTTTATTTATTTTAGTGAGCATGCATAAGGGTGATGATCGATTCTCTTCATCGATTTTATCTTTGCATTGCTACAGCTAAGCGAAATAATTTCCTAGAATTTGTTCAATGCAGAGTTGTAACCACAGGACTGCAACGCCTGTCATCTACGAACAACTCAAGTGAAGCCAAATTTCTCCCTTTTTATGACACAGACCTGTTGGTCCATATTTGAAAAACCAAATTTCTCTTGTGCTCTGTAAAGAGGCTGGATTTATTAAGAGACGACATGTCAAAATTTGAACAATCGATTATCTGTCAAAGTCATAGGAAAAGTTATTCCAATCGTGCAGAGGACCTATCAAATGGATAAGATGTCACCTCTTTACCCAATTCAGTCTCTTTAGTGCTCTGGTGCTAATTTGACAGCTCCTCATCTTCCTCTATGATTATTTATTTATTTATTTCAATCAGTGTAGACCGTTTTACAATTGTTGTCTTAAGTGCTATTTTTACAATTTTGTCTTTGTTTATATTTTTTATAATATGTCTTAAGAACAAGTTAAAACATTACTTCTAGTTGACGTTATGCGACGAATTAAAATATTGCTTTAATTTGGTTTTTGTCATTGTAAAGTCAATGTTATCGCAGTGCTTATTATATGTATCCATCATTTGGTTCAAGGGTCCAAATTTGGCATAATTCGTACGATGACGATTTGTAGCAAATATATTTCTATTTCGTAAATGCCTAGATGGTGTGTATAAATTTAAGGATGACAATAGTTCTATTGAATCAATTCGATGTGATACGATATCGCTTACGAAAGAAATCATAGCAAATTCACGACACTTTTTTAATGTTTGGATATTTATGAGCATACACCGAGCTGTGTAAGATGGCAGAGGAAATACAGTCCAACCTAACTTGCGGAGTGCATACAATAGAAACTGATTAAGCTTGGTACATATCGCGCCGCGTTGCGGAAAATAGATAGAGTTTTCTAGATAACGTTATAGGAAAGCATGATTCAAGCAAATTGTGCTCGTCAATTCGAAAACAACTAAATCATTTTTTAATTGTCCATTGCGGGAAAGTAAGAATGGTTTTGAAGGCATTACATTTGTTGCACCCTTGCCGCATTTAATGTTACATGGTTGGAGCTTACATATGTTATGGATCACCAGCGCTTCTGATGTTTTCGGCAGTTTCAAGAACTGGATCGCATTGCAGGGGGTTGGTTGTAACAGGTTGTATTGGCTGTCAAAAGCAACAGCAAACGCACCGAGAAATGTTAATTCTAGCGAGTTATTAACAAAAGAGAAAATCGACGAAGAGAATCGATCATCGCGGTTATGCCCTTATGTATGCTCACTAGACCTGTTCATTTTAAACGAAGTGTTCGGAATGTAACGGGTCAACCGTGATTACTGTTCGTCATGTTAATTTGTACTTCTGTGTAAATTTTCAGCAAAATCAGTGATGATTTTGAGGTGCTTCAAGTTAATTTTATGTTTTTAAGGTAATTTACGGCTTACAATATTTGTATCTCGAGACTGAAATAACGAAAACTGCTGTAACAACTTTCATAGCAAAGTTTAATGTGTCATGTATCAACTTTGTAACCAAAGGTTGACTATTCGAAGTGATTTTATTGAAGTTTGACTTAGTTTCATGCTCGAAGATATCTTAAAAAGTGAAGAATTTTAAAGTATTTGTTCTACGAATTTTCCACCCATATGATATAAAAATGTGTAGTGTACGGCATAATGTTCCTCATATTGTTCTAAAAGTTTCGTTCCAACATAGTTTTCGTGTATATTTCATAGATTGAGAGATAAAAATCAGAAAAGAGGCCGTTTAGCTAAAATTCACAAGACAGTCTACTAAGTCAAACTTCAATAAAATCACTTCTAATAGTCAACCTTTGGTCACAAAGTTGGTAGATAACACATTAAACTTTGCTATGAAAGTTGTTACAGCAGTTTTCGTTATTTCAGTCTCGAGATACAAATATTGTAAGCCGTAAATTACCTTAAAAACATAAAATTAACTTGAAGCACCTCAAAATCATCACCGATTTTGCTGAAAATTTACACAGAAGTACAAATTAACATGACGAACAGTAATCACGGTTGACCCGTTACATTCCGAACATTTCGTTTAAAATGAACAGGTCTAATGCTCACTGTCTATTTGTTTCTTTTTATGTTATGTTTACTTGGACCCATTCTTTCTAATTCATCCAGTTGATTTTGTCTGCAAAAAAATCACGCACTCTTTGATGCAAAAAAAAATACATTGAAAAGGTGAGTTTGCAGAAGACATTGAAAGCTCAGATATAGAGTTTTTTTTTTCGAGAGTTGACCAACTGCAGTCTTAATAGGCTAGCATCTCGGTTGGGCTCTCCATGCGATACACAATACTAACAGACGACTCGAGCTATGGTGCTCACCTGGGACTCCCTCAGGTTTGGCGTAGTGGAAAAGGCTCCTACACTTAGAAAAATCTATCGTCAAAACAAATATATTTAAGGTAAATTTAAACATAAACTCAGTTTGTTCTGGCCACAAAAATAAACTAGGTTCATTTAAAACGTATTCTATGTTAGAAGTCATGTGATATCGGTGTATAAAATAAATATAATCAGTGCTGTAGTTGAGGTTAGTCGCGGGTAGTCGACGTCTAACTAGCTTTGATCGGAAACCAATATTTCTTAACTTGTTTAGTTGGTGCGCCCTTATATTACTTCTACGACTACCAAGCTCAAATTCTACCAAAGATGAATACTAAGATGAAACTGTCGGAAGAAAAACTTTCTATTTTAGTGTCCTCTTTCACGGTCCCTTTCATCCAATGAATATCCCCCGTATTCAAGGTAATTTTGTGGTTTTGCTGCCCCTTCGGTAGAGATGAAATTTTGCGCTCATTTTTATCAAAACAATCACACCAAAATCAGAGATGTCCCATTTTTTAATTACTCGATTAACAACTAATCGATTTTTTTTGTTCGCTGTGCTGCCATTTTTCCACCAATGGGAGTGCAGCACGTTTGAAACGATCGGTGATGATCCTCTGGAGATGTTAATGCTTTTATCGGCATGATATAACCGATTACAAATATTTTATTTTTC